TCGGAATCGATCACTGGATGAATACGTCAAATCTTTTTGATAGCATGAGGAAAGCAGGAAATGACATTTGGAGAAAGAGAGAAAAATATAGGGGAACTAAAAAATGACAAAAAATTGGTTACGGATAATGTATTTAAAATAGGCAATACGGCGTAAAATAAGAAAATAAAATAAAAGGAGTAAACAATGTTGGAAGAGAAAAGTTGAAAATTAAGAACGGGGGTCGTTTAATGTCCGTCAAAAAAAAAACATTTTGAATGCACTGCAAAAGTTAACAATAATAAACAAAAGAAACAAAAGGAAAATAAAGGAGTAAACAGCTTATTGACAACATTTGATTTACAAAGTTTTAACAGGAAAAGTGGTTCTAAGCGACCCTTACCCACACGCGCACACGCACACGCACATCCACCACGCATACGCACAAGCAAACGCACACAATCATGCGCAACATTCAAACTATTCTTTATGCACGAAGGCGGTGTAATCATTCATGTCGGGTGTGATTCGAATAACGCCTCAAATATCTTCATAATAGAATTTGATTTATTCCCAAGAGAGAAATATTGACACCTTCCCTTTTTCGTTGCCTCCGATCATTCCTATCTTTCTATATCCGTGGTAATTGCCTATTTTAGCGTACGGTATATAGATTTAGTAGGGGTCCCTGGTTCTTTAGATTTGCGTAATAAGTCTGCAAACTTCAAAAGGAGAAAAATATGAATGCATATTTTAGTTTCCTTTTTCCTCTCGACTTTCTAAGAAGCGAAGAAAAAGCTGAGAACAGAAACAAACAAATAAACAAAGAAAGCAAAAATACAATGAGCACTGTAACATAACTAAAAACGCATCAACATCACTATCAAGAAATTGAGGGCCTAAACTGCTGGCGTTGGGCCACATTTGTACTTAGTATTTTATGTGAAACTAGAGTCGGCCTATACCATACAGTCAGCCCTCCCCCCCCCCCCCCAACTCCACCGTTTATTCGCTAAATGATCATTTATGTGGGTGTGGGTCGAATTCCGCATCAAATATTCAACATAGGATTTGATTTATTACGAAGAAAAAGTGTTGACTCTTTTAATTCTGGTTGCAGTTTGCACAGAGTACCCAACCCGACCTCCCTCTCGCCCAACCGTACCGTAGTCAATTCAACTAGATTATAGTTATAGAGTTCACTATAAATAATACAATTATTACCCTATTGCATTTCCCAATATCCGACTCAAGGGTGATTAATGCCTATAAAGCCTTACCTCTCTTTGTGAGGCTCAGTATTAAAAATGCATTTCTAGTTTCCCGTCAGAATTTTGCGTAAATTAGGTGGAAAAGGTTCCATGCTATTTGATATTTTATATTTTTTTGTGGAATAAAAATTTGATTTGGTCAATTTCAACACAAATTATATCAATTGATATTTCGTGTGTTCAGCAAGCCAAGGGTTAAACAAAAGTTGAAATTGCATACTGATTTTTGCCGACATTATGTATTGTCTACATAATTATTTTGGCATAATTGGCATAATATATTTTATTTTAAATCAAAAGTATCAAATAACGAAATTAGAGGCGGGCAGAATAAAGAAAGGAGGTGGGGATGATAAAATGTCTTTATTTGGCCTAAGATATTTATGGGCGACAGCGAGGCTGGTGAGGGGGGGGGGGGGGGTTAGAAACAAAAAGAAGAAAAAGTAGAAGAACAGAAGCGAAAATAGGTCCCATTCACAATTATTTTCTTACATTAGTTTGTAGGTTTTTCACTGCTATGACACATCTTGGTTTTGCAATTTCCTGAGAACCTCGTTAATATTAATTCTGATATTGGTTCGCGTTATGTATAATTGTACAACTCCTTATCATGTATAATTCCGCTTCATATAAAGTGGCTTTTTCTATACTTTAAAGGGACTATGTCCCATTTGCAGGCAAAAAAAATGAAAAAGTTAAATTCCAACTGCATTTGAAAGATAATACTAATTTAGAACTTCCCTAAAAAAGGTGGGGCTTGAAAATGTCTTCAAGTGGGAAAATAACGACTATTAGTTGTCAAATCGACATTAGGGTTATAGATCCCAAAAGTAATAGTCTTGATTTTCAGACAATTGTACCGAATGGTCATACGTTTTATGCTGCGATCAGTTTAATCTTGGCCATCACAAGAAGTGGGTTATTGATGTAGACAAATACTCATGTACCCTTTACAACTCTTTTCATGTATGTTATTACCAAAGAAGAAAAAAAGCCAGTCAGTCACTCAATAGTGTCTGACAGTGAAGTCTAGCAAGTCATCTGTTTTTCTTGCATAATTTGAATATGAGGACACTGCTAACGTTTAAATTTCACAGATAGGACATACATGACATATTCATAATTCCTGCAAAGTTCTACAGCATTTGAGGTTGGCTGCAAAAGGGACTTAGTACCTTTAACCAATAAAAGTAGAATTTATTTCAGTTGAGGGGGGGGGGGGGTCGACCCCCCCCCCCCCTGCGTACGCGCCTGGTTGGAGAACACCATAAATGAGGATCCATGAAAAGAACGGCTCTTCGAATACTGTTTTATTCAACAGATGGCAAAAAGTAGCCGAATTTATTTTCAATTGTTAGATAAATCAAATTAAATTTCTATGTGGCGAACTTGTTAGATAATGATTATATTTTTTTAGTAAAATATAATATTTTCCAAATTAACTAATTTTGTCCATGTGCAATTGGTTCTATTTCAAGCCTAATTCAAAACTCAAAATTGATCCTAGACAGAATTTCAACTCATCAAAATAATGTAAACGAAAACATGTCAACATTTGGAGTGACAATTGCCTATTCGTCGTCAGAATTACATATTTATCAATACTCCCGTGACATCTTTACCATAAACCCATGTAATCCACACTACAATACGCTTGTCACAACATATGGCTACATCCCGAAATCACAGTCGTCTGAATCCACAATTCTCTTACCGCCATATCATATTCTAACTAGAACAAAAATGATCTTATCAGATGTTCATGATTCGGATACGTCCTCCTTTCCACGTTATTCATAAAAAAACTAAATCCCCTGGCGACGAGCAGATGCGATGAAAACACATCCTCACTATCACTTTACTGACATTTTCTTACTTGAAACTATGATCGCTATAAAGCGTCCCTTCGAAAATGATCCCCTTTTTTATTTTCCAGGCCATCTCAACGACGAAAGCCGCACTCGATTTTCTGTCCAAAATACCCGGGGGCTATGACGGGCCGTCTGTGGTCCCAAGCGTCGTCTTGACTTGGAAATAATCGCGAAGATTACCGACGAGTGCATCTTCAACTAGAGGGGCCGGGGCTCGGGACGGGCAATGTACCATCTGCTTTACAGAGAGACTGGAAGAGATATAGAGGAAGAGAGAGGGGGAGAGAGAGAGGGGAAGAGAGAGAGAGAGAGAAGAAGAGAGAGAGAGAGAGAGAAAAAAAAGGGAGTGGGAAGGGAAGGTGGGAGGGGGCGGAAGGATAGAGAGAGATGAATACCGACATAGAAATGTATATATACTGTATAGTGTGGGAGAGAGAAGAGAGAGAAGAGTGGTCGAGTGAGGGATATGATAGAGAGGGAGAAAGAGAGAGAAAGAGAGAGAGAAGGAGAGAGAGAGAGAGAGAGGGGGAGGTGGGAGGGGGCGGAGGGATGGAGAGAGATGGATAACGAGAGAGAGGGGGACTGAGTGCGGGAGGGAGACGAGTGAGGGAGAAAGGGGGAGGAAGATGGAGAGAAGGAGAAGAGAGAGAGAGAGAGAGAGAGAGAGAGAGAGAGAAGACAGAGGGAGAGAGAAAGAGAGGGAGAGAGCATTGACAGGGAGGTAGAGTGAGATCAGCATGAATATTGTTTTCGCTCCCAAACACATATCCTCGGGCTTTCCTTCCAAAAACACAAATATGTGCGTCCATAAAGTGCGACCTGGTTTAATTATTGTAAAATGAATCAGATATCGAGAGCAATGTTTTCACAAAAAAGATATACATTGTAAGTGACTGCAATAAAAGTGCAAACATATGTCTAGAATGCTTTACTAAAGTAGGTTAAGAACGTGATAAATTGAATCTGATTTTTGTTTATTCTCCGTCCATCTCTATTGAATGTGTTCGCGGAATAATCACAGGCGCCTCATTGCGATCACCCCCCCCCCCCCAATACGGACTTATACCACTGCCAGGCGTCAATTCCATTCATTATTTAAATAATGTACATACATAGACGTATTGCAACAAGGAATTTGGCTGGCTTATCTATCCCCCCCCCCCAAAAAAAAAAAAAAAAAAAAAACAACAACAACAACAACAACAACAACAAAGAAAAAAAAAAGTGAAACTGTATTTCCAATGAATAATGTATTCAATAAGATACGATATCCGATTATGGGGTGACAGTGACAAACATGAGACATCCCCCCCCTTTTTTGGGGGGGGGGGGGAGCAGCTGCAGCTCCTTATAAACCTATCTGTCACAAATGAAAATAATACTGTGAAAAAAGGGACACTGAAGTATTGACAAGACTTGACATGGTCCACTGCCCCTCCCAGAATGCAACGTCTGGCTTAAGTTATCACCCTAATCCTATTCAAATTGCGTGACTGCATAGAAGATAATTTGATTCGGCTTCAGGAATTTGATACAAAGCTGAAAATCCACCCAAAGGCCTCTTTTATTAGGATTTTAATCCTAACTTTTCTGCGCTCTGTTGAATATAAAGGGCGTCATCCTTGTATAGTCAGTTGTTGACTGATTGCCATTACAAAAAAAAAAAAAACAACAACAATAATACCCTCCTCAACGTGGCACTGTTATATTTTTGCGACGCCGGGGATGTAAACGGATGAATAGGGACTTTTAGATTTGCGTGGACTGATACGTGTGACGTCCATTCAAGGCAGTGCATTAAAAGGACGTCGACCGTAGCAATCCACATTGTCTTCGTGCAAATCTAAAAGTCCCTACTGTTATATTTTTTCTACGCCGGGGATGTAAACGGATGAACGAGTCTTGGATTGCTCGTCCGCAAAAACGCCATTCATCGTCATATTAGCTCGCTCCGACCACTGGAGCTTCATTTTCGGAAACGTTTTCTATATACTCCTAAGGCAACGCGAACGGTGTGGGACTTGTCGTGTGAGTTCAGTTATCTTTTAAAAACATGTACTACTTGGAGGTGTACTGACGATATCAATGTTTTCTACGTGAAAAGTATTTGGGAATAAGTGGTATTTTACTGCAGGTTTTAGTGTTTCTACCTAGCTCCGTGACTGACTGGCAAGGTAATGTGTGTTGTAAATTTATGCATAACTGTCATGTTGGAAGGAACGCATAATACCCCAATAAAGAGAGAGAGATAGATAGAGAGAGACAGACAGAGAGAGACAGAGAGAGAGAGGGGGGGGGGTGAGAAAAACAAAAGAGAAAGAAAGAGAGAGAGAGAGAGAGAGAGAGAGTGAGAGAGAGAGAGAGAGAGAGTGGGAGACAAAGATTGAAAGAAAGAGATAGAGAGACAGAAAGAAATAGAAGAGACCCGGACGAAAAGAAACCAAAGGAGAAAAGGAAGGAGGGAAGGAAGAGGAGGACGAAGAAGAACGAAGAGTAAGGGGAAGTAGAGGAAGAAGACAGAGACGAAGAGTAAGAGCAGGAAGAAAAGGGAAATTTTTGGTTCGTATTTTTGCATGTATTGTATTTAATTCTCAGAAACATCATCTGAGTAAGTTCGTTTTTAGTCTTTCTCTCTGCCTCTGGATAAGTAATATATCTAGCAAACCTAATTATCTACACTAAAGGAACACGGACACGGTGTGTACCCGAAAACATGACCACTTACCTTGTAAGGTCTAATCAAAGTCTCACCTCCCTGGTCTAATTGAGCTCTAGTATTGCTACTGAATTGATGAAGAAAGTGTTTGGAAGCGGTTGGGTGAACTGTAAAGTTTTGGAATCATCAAAAATGATAAGAAGTTACCCCAGTCGGGCCTATCTCACTGAGCGGCGAATGCTTGCGAACGTAGCGAATTTGGGGTTTCGCCAGAGTTTGTAAAATGTTGTAAAAGGTTGCAAGAAAGATCGCAAACAGTTTCTTTGTTGTAAACAGTTTTTCTTGTCGCAAAGAAATTTTGAACATGTTCAAAATTTCTTTGCGAATTTATTTTTCCGCAAACAGTTGCAGGCGTTTGCAAAACAGTCGTAAGCCTTTGCAAACGGTTGTTAAACGGTTTTGCTCTTTGTTTTCGTCAGTTCTCTGTGTTTCGCCAAAGCTAGCGACCACGTTACCATATGGTTTCTTTATAAAATCGACCCATTGAGTACCAGTAGTTAGCAAAAGGTCTCAAACGTTCACAAATAGTGGCAAAGTATTGGCAAATAGTTGCTAATCTTCGCAAAAGTTGTCGCTAACATTTGTTTACAGTCGCTAATAGTCGCCAACTGCCTTTCGCAAACACTTTCGGAGACATTCGCTCAAATGTTGCTAATTGTCGCTAAACGTCACTTAATGTCGCTGATTTTCGCCAACATTCGTCAGAAAAGTTGGCGAATCCAAATTCGCAACGTTCGCAAGCATTCGCTGCTCAGTGAGATAGGCCCTTTACACTGTACACAGAAATGTATAATACATATGTCTACACTAACATCCGTTATGGGAGCGTGGTTCGCAGACTTTAGCTGTTATGCTATGGTCACATTACCCAAAAGTAGACTGCTCGGCGGCCGAGCGGCGAGTTTGTAACCAATTCTGCCCGGCGGCTGCCCGGCCACCGAGCGGCGACCGCCCAGGCACCGCTCGTTTTTAGGGCATCGCTCGGTCGCCGCTGAAGTTTTAGCGCGGAGTTAAAATTTGGGCGGCGCCTGCTCACTTTTCACTCGCCGCCCAAAATACGCTCGGTGCCTGGGCGGTCGCCGCCCGGGCACCGACCTAATCGCTGGGCGATGCCTAATTCCAGCAGCGACCGAGCAGGCTACTGATCGGTCGGTCGCCGCTCTGATTTGTGACCATAGCTTTACTTGTCGTATTTTGAACATGGTATGTGGGTATTTGAAGAGCCATCCTTTTACAGGGGACATTTTGTCCTGTGACACTCTTCCACACTGACATAAAGGGAATGAAAAGTGTCACATATAATTTGTCATTTTTTCCCCAACTCAACTTTCACTTTAATTTCTCGCCCTTTTATTTATTTCTTTTGTCGCCGTTTAATTTGTATATTTTTATGATTACGTTATAAGGTATTGTCAATCGTACCGTGATCAGTCTTTTCCAACGTTGGAATTGCTGGGGTGTATTATACACACAAACTTCTCACTGCATGGCGGGGCTTCGAATTCTCAATCCTAGTTTTGAGTGTTCAAATCCTGGACTGGCTCTTTTGCAAGACATGAATCCACATGTGCAAAGCTTTTAGAAATGGTGCTTGGACATTTTGCTAGGGTAATGAAAATTGCTTGGCCCTCAGAAAGTTTGAGTAAACAAATGTTTAATTAATTAATAGTGATAATTGATTCAATTTCAATTCGTTTATGCTTCCAGCAAAACACTTCCAATCAATTATAAACATTTATAACAAAATGTAGGAATATATATATTGGAAACAGAGGGGTCGATCAAAAAGCAATGCTTGTACAAGTGTGGACACCTTAAATGAAACTTGGGAATAATGAGTAATTAAATAAACAAGTCCGTAACTACAAAAGGAACTATGAAGTAGGGGAAAAGGGGGATGCCAAACAGAGAGGAAAACGGGACGAGACAGTACTTTACATGACAAAGATAGAAGAACATGCCAAAAGAGAAGTGAGAGATCGGAGGTACAGACAATTTTACAAAATGATGACCTGCATGTGGGGTTGAGAAGAAGATGAGGAAAGATAAATGCGTATTAGAAAGGAGATAAGCATGATAAGACACAGTATTATTTATTAAATTACATTTAAATTAACTTAAATACGGAAATGAACGGTTACCATTGCAAAGAATCTCTTGGTTTATTTTTTTTATCCATACTTCTCTGGGTCATCGGGATTAAGTTGTCAATCAAAGATATAACTATATTGCAGCTGAGAACCCTGAAGTAATGGTGCCCTAATTGATTTTGAATTGACAGTTGAAAACGGAATGTGTTTTTCCAACACAATCGGAAAAAATGAACACAAATATAGACAACTTCATATGTCTCTTTCAATAGCCCTTTCCAGCATCCTTTGCAATATACTAACAATAACATGACGGATTACATAATCTAAACATGAGTTCTGTTGCATATTCAATAGGAAATTGCAATTGCTCTTATGATGATTTTTCAGCGAAACGAAAATTATAGTTGCGATCATATTTTCCCTTCTAACACCTTCTGAAATGTATATATTTGTATGTTTCCCCTCTATATACTGTAGGTTTCTAACCACTTTCCATCGTTTTCCCTTTCATCTATTTTTTTTATTTCTGATATTATTATTAAGACAGTGTGACTCATTATCATCAATAATGGTGGTCTTCCATGAGGCCCTGTTAAACAACAATAGTTAAAACAATATTTATTTAAAAAAAAACATATATATATTAATCACTTTCTTGTTTGTAAGTACTTTCTCCATTTCATCTCTTTCCTCGTCTTCTTTGCACCCCCTCTCAACCGCACTCCTATTCTTTCTAACTCTACTTGTATGCAATCATGATGCGATTCTCTCTCCCGCCCACTCTCTCTCTCTCTTCTCTCTATTCGCCCTAAAAGGACACCATTAATTCGTAATACCAGTGGAGTAATGAGCCTTTTATGCCTCTTTATAACCCATTTGATTTTTCAATGTTTGCTGTATTCATGAATTTTAAATCTTAGGACTCTACTTAAATCTGCAATTCAGCCTCCATTAAATATTAATTGAATGGCTCTCTTTATATTATGGCATCCCATGGAAATATGGCATAGTGGTTACCATGGATACTGCTCATTCCCTTGTCGTAGCATAATAATCCCTTCCATACCTACTCTATTTCCTGCAGTCGAAAATCGATGAATAAGAAGAAGAAGCTGATGAGGGGAAAAGAAAAAGAATAATAATAATAATAATAAGAAGAAGAAGAAGAATAAGAAGAAGAAGAAGAAGAAAAAGAAGAAGAAGAAGGATATAAAGAAGAAGGAGGAGAACAAACTTAAGAAGAAGAAAACAAATACAAATAAAAAGACGAAGCATAATAAAGAGAAGGAGAAGAGAGAGAAGAAGAAAGAAGAAGAAGAAGAAGAAGAAGAAGAAGAAGAAGAAGAAGAAGAAGAAGAAGAAGAAGAAGAAGAAGAAGAAGAAGAAGAAGAAGAAGAATACGTTGAATACTAACTACCTGAACACATCGGTAAAAAATGATGATTCAGAGAACAAACTGGTCAATACAACAGTTAAATTCCGAATGTACAAGATGTATTATGTGGCTTTAGAGTCCGTTTAATGAGCCATGTTAGTGGTGTGAATCGTTTGCCTTGGGGAACCATGAACCAGGCAGTACCTAGATGTTTGTGTTGTCGCATTTAATGGACAATTCTAGTCGAATAAGGTTGGAATCCTGCTGTAGGTTTCTTATTTACTTCAAGAAAATTCTTCTATTTCATTAAAAAAATCTCCTTTATAATTATATGTCCCTTTTATTCTACCCAAGGTCTATAAACCACTACAACCACGCTTTTTGTTTATGTTTGAATGCTTTGATAAAAAAAAAAATATTCTGAGATTTAGAGAAGAGAGTGAGAGATAACAGCCTGTAATAACACCTGTCAATATGAAGTGTTCCTAAGCCATTTTTGTGCTGGGTGTAAAGTGCAATCAAATGAGTTCAGTGCCTGTCAAATGAGTTCGGATTTCGGCTAGAGGTCACTTCTTTTATAGTGCAAAGACCCCCTTTCCACCAAAACAAATCTTCACCTTTATAATTAAATCTTTTTGTCTCTATCCGAGGTTTTGGAACCACACATGCTAGAATGTTATATTACCATCCTTGCTATGTAATATTCTACTTTTAGAGATGATATCGAGACACGCTTGCTGATTAATGTTAGGCCTCCTGGGAGAAGTTTCAAAGGTTGTACAGATTTTCTTTAATCTACTGAGCACTGGGTGCAAGGCAAAACTTTCTTTACAGCAATACATTGTGGAGTATTCCTTCACCACATACAGCTGCAAATGTTCTAGTGTTTCCCTCTTACAATAAATCCAAAACATTTCGCCCCATTTCTGTTAACTTCTTGTATGTAATGTGGGGCACCGTATTTACTTTCGTTTACCGATCCATTGGCGAGCCAAAGAGCTACGTGGTCGGGATAATAAGATTTAGGAAATACAATCTGATTCGCTCCTGGCTTCCTGTCTTCTTAAACTTTGCAAGAAAAGTCCGACCCCTTTTCTTATAATAGTGTATCGGGCAACCTTTTGTTAAACTTGTCACAAGGAAAACGTAATGCGTTTTGATCAGTGTGGTTTTCGTGTAGGTGTATAATGGTTCGGTTTACATGGGAAAAGAAAGTAACGCTTCAGGATCTTCAAAGCTACGACTTAGCACTTTATACAGGATGTTAAATCAAAATTAAAGAGTTTGACATGACCGATATGTCCGTCGTTAAGTACTTGGCAAAGAGGAAAGTTTTGGAAGAAATTTGTGTTGATATCTAGACAGTATTACCATTTTTCTAAACCTGCCTACATTTATGGCAGCCAAACCCTTTCACCTCCAACCCAGTTTCTCAGTCACAGCAAAAGGTTGATAACGACCCACTAGACATTCATAGCATGTGTTTCTCCCATTGGATTGTGTGCACATTATTGCAATGGCTATATTTTGCAAACGAGCGATGCAAGAAAGAATGAATAACACCATTTAACTCATTAAAACACACCTTATTATAAAGTACAACAAAATGTCACGAATAAGTCATTGTAATATGGTGTGATGGTTGTCCGAATGCCAAAACCTTAATATCTGATCGGGGGAGGGGGAGATTGCAGACCCATCCCACAACTTCAACACAAATACAAACAAAATGCCGTTAACGATTATGGTTAAATTGAAAATTTAAAGCAAATTGAAAAGATATGCATTGGGTATAATGGAGTATGAAAGTAATCATAAAGATATCTTCCAGTTTATTTCACTTGTAGTTTGCCGAAATTAATACACATTATACTCCATTTGTCAGAAGATTGTGGGATTGATAATTACAACGCTAACGGATGTTGCGGAACTCAGAAACGAAAGGTCCATGAACCTAGTATTGAGGAGATATGAGGCTTTAAAGACTGTCATGTTTGTGACGTAGGTGGGGTAGATCATTTTTGACATACATTATACATCTATTAAAACCCGCCTCAGAAAGCGCTTTATAGTTGACTCTTGAGTGCAAAATTGCATAGAAGTGGCAAAATTGATGACGAATCCAATATATAGCATATATAAGACTGATCATTATCATTTTTGATTTTTTTTTTCTACTTCATTTGCCGATGATTTCCCCCATTCTCATTGTTTACTTATTAATAAACTAATCATTGTCTTTATTTTTCGAATATTATCATTTACACGATTCAAACCATTGCGGATCCTTATCCATGTTGCTGATTTATTTCCCCATTTCACAGATCTTCTTCCCTAGAATCGTAGCAGCTATTATGTTAAGAGGACCATGCATACTTCAGTTGATGCATCCGTCCATGAGATTGTGCGTGATAAATAATTGGGTTGGGCATTCTGTTTCTTTCAAATGCTAGACCTCAAGAAAGAAGAATAGGACACAAAGACACGTAGTGAAAGACCATTTACACCCTTTTAAAAGCCAAGGCGGAATTAATTTTTTTCAGCACCACTTCTTCTCTTAATGGATTTAGACTTATCACGTCATCTTTTGCTTGTTGTTGTTTATACAAGAATTAGTCTTATTTTTTCTTCCCTTACTTCCCTTTCTTTCCTGAAAGCTATGACGGAATCAATTTTCAAAGCACCACTTATTCTCTTAATGGATTTCGACTATCGCCTCATCTTTGTCCTCGTTATTTCTTTTCCCCTTTTTCTTTCCTTTTTTGTTATTGAAGGACATTTTTATTGATGTCTGACATATTTCTTTTTTGTGTTCTTCATCTTTCAGAAATGATGCACTACATGGCTTCTAATGCATTCAAGATGTTGCCATGGCTACATAACCCCGCATGGACCTGTGAGATGCATTCATGTGAACCACTTTACATCTACTTGCAATGTAACATCGTCGCAAAATAATGTTCGCATCCGTCCTTTTAATCCCGTGAGTTCTTCGATCGTTCACCGGATTGTGGAGAAGCAACATATGACATAATAACCATGCAAGGTATTGAATGGTTGAGGGTTTAGTTTTTACTTTGTGAAGGAAACCCGTCCAAAATGGAAAGTGCTAAAACCACACTGCACACCACACTGCGCACAGCCTGGGTGACAAGTACGCTTTCCACCAAGAAGACATTAGGAAACGAGACAGAAATGCCATTGACGGTGGAAACGTACATGACATCGGGCATAAGCGGTACTGTGGAAATATACCCAGGTATGGTGAACGGAACGGGCAACGAATCGCTATACGACTACGAGTCGGAGATCTTCACGAAGCCGACGTGGTACCTTGGCATGATCAGCGTCATCTACGGCGGTCTTATCATCCTCACCTTTGTCGGGAATATATTTGTTATGGTCGCTTACCACCGCGACCCACGGATTCGACGTAGCGTCGCAAACACGTTCATCCTTAACCTGGCGATCGCCGATTTCATCGTAGGGTCATTCACGTTACCCGTTTATTTCGGATGGAACCTAGTGGGTGTGTGGATCTTCGGGGAGTACTTGTGCAAGGTGTGGTCTTTTGTCGACTTCACGGTGACAGCGATGTCGGTCATCACCATCATCCTCATAAGTCTTGATCGCTACTGGCTTCTCAGCAAGAAGGCGGCCTACGCTTCTTTCCAAACGCAACGACGCGTTAACACCACCATAGGAGTTTGTTGGTCGCTAGTTTCAGCCATCTTTCTTGTTCTCATTTTCGGCTGGTCTACAATCGTCGGTGAATTAGCGGTTGATTTTGCAAACTTTTGCGAAAGCGAGTTCGTGTACTACTTACCAGCGTTAATATGTGTCGTGGTGATAAATTTCGCTATACCAGCCTTGATCATAGCGGTTTTAAATACTCAGGTTTATCGGATGATCCGAGAGCGCGCGCGAGGTATCGATGCCTTGAACAAAACAATACAGCGAGAGAGTGGTGTGAAAATAACGTCGGGAAGAACGACGTTCCTGCTCCGTGCCCTTCGTAAGAAACCAGTGCCTCCGGTAGCGGGAATGGAAAATGCAAAGAAGGGACTCGACCCAGCCGTCACCCTCGTATCCGTCACGGCCAGACAAGCGACGGAATGCCATCACAACCCCGCCTTCGAACAACAGAACGACATCGCCGCGTCGTCGTCTTCTAGTGGCGGGACATCGGGTATCGATATCCCAAAAGACGATAATTCCGACTGCGCAACAGACGATGAAAAAGCGGGAGAGCGCGAAAATATGAACGCTCGCGAAGCAAGTCCAAAAACTTCTAAAGTCAAACAGAATGTTTTCACGGTGAGCAAAAAGGGCCAAAAGAAACAAGACAGTCCAGAAAAAACCCTCGGCTCGAAACTGGAGAGTATGAAAAGTAAACTGAAAAGGAAACGACGAGAATTTAAACGCGAACGCAAAGCCGCGTTCATACTTGCTGTCCTGGTTTCTGTGTTCATATGTTGCTGGCTACCCTACAATATCACCGTCGTTGTAGGCATAAGTTGCAGATATGAGTGTATACCTAGAACAGTGTTCATAGTTGTGGAGAATTTGGTATGGGCCAATAGTGCACTGAATCCGCTGCTATATGCTTTCACCAACGTCCACTTTCGACGAAACTTTCTGACATTTTTAGGTTTTGGGAGTATGGCTCGAAAACTAGACGGCCCCCAGAGTGTAGCTTGAGTTCTTATTTCATTAGTTTTTTTAAGAACGTGTACAGAAACTGTAATTTTATATTCAAACTTTGTGGAATGTATTTTGGATTGCTTTACTTCATTGTTATCAATACCACTTTTAATTATTTATAACGTATCTAACATTATTATATATCAGAAATGTGAGACAACATGTTTTGATTATGTTGGTTTGTGGAAGGAATTGGAGCGAGGTGCAATTATGAAGTCTAATGAATATTTTTTTTTATGAACACGACTTAAGGAGTGCAATTGAAGGTATATGTCTCAGGTTTTGTTTGAAAAGTAGTGATAATTCAAGACAAAAAGAAAAGTGATTTAAAACGTCGTTGTTTTCTGAATTTTAGAATAGCGTTGATGCTTTAAACCATCAATTTTTGACATTCTCATAACTTCAGAAATCACTCTGTATTGCCTAACGCATTTAACGAAAGACTTGTTTTTAGCATGTCTAGAAAAAGATATTCATGATTATAATTCATACATGTTTAGACATGGACAATATGGCATTCACATGCCTACATCAACCAAATTGAATAATACAATTAAAAATATCAAAGATAATCTTTTAAACCCTAGTATGATTTGCAAGTCTATTAATGACAGTTATTTGCCGTATAAAAAGGTGCCTATACCAAGCCAAATCAGTTGTACTTCACAATGTATTGAAGCCAATTGGCAGATGAGTTTATTTTGGATATAGACTAACCGAATGTGAAAGCAGTATTATTATCATTTGTTATATTATTCATTTGTAAGGAAGGAATTTATAAAAAAAGAACGCGATCCCCTGAACATGATAAACAATACTCAAGACGCAATAATCATAAAGTGTTCGATTTGGCAGTTATATGCTTGTACTTACAGGAGGCAAATTACCCCAACAAAATATTTATGAATGAAGTAAATTGTTTGTACCAAATGCACATTAAATGAAAAATAAGCATGAATTAATGAGAATAAGTAGGGGATCAAAAGTGAAACATGGGAATAAAGCTTTCGATATATGTCAAAAATATGTAAAGGAAAGTAAAAAGTAAAGTCTTTATTAAATAGATGCTTGCTTAACGGGGAAGTTGAGTTCTGGGAGAGGTAAGCCTTTCCATTCTTTCATCTCATTGTTGGAGACAGGGGCGTACGCATGATTTTTGCGAAGGGGGAGGGGTGTTAAATTTGAAAATCGCGCCGAAAATTGCGCAACGACTCAGCCAGCCGATGAATAAGCAAAAAGGGGGGGGGGGGGGGGGGGGGGGGGGGGAAGAACATTTTTGTTTTGTCTCGAAAATTTGTCGACCGATATTTCGTTCAGTTGAGGGGGGTTCAACCCCGCCCCCCCCCCCCCCCCCTGCCTATGCGCCTGGTTGGAGAACACCATAAATGAGGGTCCATGAAAAGAACGACTCTTCCAATACTGTTTTATTCAACAGATGGCAAAAAGTAGCCGAAATATTTGGACCAAACTCTCATGCTAAATGTTTGTGTTATCCCATGCTATAAGTATCTAAGTGCACAGCATTTAAAGATAAAGATGAGTTCTGGTTAAAAAAATAAAAAAAAGTGAATTCTCACAGAATTAAACGAAACTTACACTGAATGTTCAAAATTACAAATAAATGTCATTTGCAAAATATTGTTAGTAGAAAATGTATACTGGCTGAGTAATGAGCGTAGAAAGATAAGGAAATCAAGGTTGGTAACCCCGACATCATTTGTGTAGTCCCATATACATCTTTCTGTGTACGGTGCTTGTGTGCTTGTTACTCTACCAAGACTGGGCCGAATTTATTATGATTTGGATGACTCCAGAACTTTGCAGAAAACACCAAAACTTACATGCTATAGATGACCAGCTCTTTCTGATCCATTCCACACCTTTTCTTTCACAATGCAATCGGATGACCAGAACTCACCTTTTTCTTTCATTGAATTTCAATAAGTCGTTGTACTTTTTCCATCATTTTGATGATTCCGAAAACTCTGTTGATATATTTTCCTGATTATTATGTACTACATAATTAACCTTGTCCAGTTGCTTTGAGACAAATTCTGTTGTACAATGCAACTGCATGGCGATAACTGAACTCTACCTTTAAACAGGCTTGACTGTACTTTTTGTTGGTTCTATATGTGGTCATTGGTATGTTTTTTCTTCAGTATTCATATTATGTTAGTCTACTTTATACAGAATACTTTTCCCTTCAAACAAAAAATAAACAAAATTACGGAATTAACTTTTACTACATGGAGAAGAACTTTTATAAAGTTTCACTTGGTATACACTTCCAAAACTAGATCGAAATATTACCCTATATAATTATCTACAAACTCGCTAACATATAACTTGTGTATGTCCAAAGCTTTCTAGAATATGTTTCCTCGAACATGTGTCATGTGTATTTTTGTACCAGTCCACTGAAAATATCTTGAGTCCAATATGTTTAAAACTATATTTTGACAGTACTGTGTGTATGTAAATAATAACATTTGGGTATAGATATAAAGGTGTTGATATTTTCCAATCCTATGAGATAGCGTTGCCTTAATAATATATTACAACTAACTTTAATAATGTACATACGGATCGTGTTTAATTAACTGTTGGATGACGGTAATGTAAACCCAACTTATCGTCGCTGTTTTCACGAAGTGACGGTAGTGAAAACAAATTGCATTCACTTTGCGTTACGATTTTCCTCACTACCGTCACTTCGTGAAAACAAGGACGTTATATGTAAATATACAAACAGACACCCATCCAATCAATTTTTAAAAAATGGTAACGTGAATTTATTAAATGAAAACTATGGAGAAAAAAGTAGACACGAACAATATGTTCAATTTGTTTGTATTTATCTACCACATAAAGGCGAGAGAATATTTCTTGTAATTTGTTTGTGGAGGAAAGTAAGAAGCTGTGACCGTTCAGAAGACAAAGGTCATATAGGCCTGAATTCGCAAAGAAGGTTTGTCGACAAACCTTGGTTTTCGTACGTCATATGACGCGTTTTTACGCGTTTTTTACAGACCTGGTTTGTAAAAACGCGTCTAAACGCGTCGTATGACGCACGGAAACCAAAGTTTGTCGACAGACCTCCTTTGTGAATTTGGGTCAATGGGTATATTGGAGAAAGAGGAGGAGGAGAAGCTGAATATAACAGAGCAAATGGGAGATGGGAGAAAGCAAGAGAGAGAGAGAGAGAGAGGGAGATGGTGCGAGGAGAAAAAAATCAAGACAAAGGGGGAGTAAGCGAAATGGTTAAATAAAATGGGTGGGGGGCGGCAAGGAAGAGTGAGCGGATGAGAGGCAGATTATATATATATATATATATATATATATATATTTATTTATTAATATAAACATATATATTAAACTTTCTCTTTTCCACAAGCTAATGACGTGAAGACTTAAATATCGAAGGAACAAATCACAGTAGAAGATAATACGGACAGAGAATGCAAAATTTGTGAATTGATGCATCTATGACATTCTGAAAAACTAGGCCCTTTCGTTATTGAAATCATCCAGTTGTGAGTATTATTATATATCTTTAAATGCACTGAAATTAAACCCCTCCCCCAGATATACTCCAACACATTTCTCATTAAATCCGATGATATCTTTGATGCGTATGTCTCACAAGTGTGCTAGTAATAATACGTTTTTAGATATGGAATTCGAAAAAAATATGTTTATTCCACAAATCAAAAATCTACATTCTTTGTCATTTTATTGACGATACTCACTTAATAATTACAGCCGAATTCCTACCAGATAATATCCATTTTTATTTATTTATTCATTTATTTATTTGATTATGGATTTGCATTCTCTGCTCACACTTATACCTACTTTGGACGAGGAGCCAAGACAAATAAATATGACAAGTCTATCATTTATGGTTTATGCAATCGAACTGCGTAAACAAATCTTTATTATCGAAAAAGACACATTTACAAGACAACTAGTCAATATCAACTTTTGTCAAATTTTACCACAAAAACAGACAATATAGCTATTTCGCTTTTCCATAAACATCAATTGCAAATGACAATTGATAGCAATTTCATATATATAAATATTAATCCGTATAAATCCAAATATTTACAAAGAATTGGTAATAAAATAATTTCATTTTCACATGTTCACATCATATTGCACAATTGGTATTTACATTTGAAGTGACTAAGCAAGTTTGAGACAAAAAATATCTTAAAGTGTAAATTTTAAGAACAGTGTATTTATTCTTTACATATCATCCATATGATAATAGTGATAATAATCCAGACTGCATTGTTTGAGAATAAAATATTCGTACTGTAATATGCATCTTAAAACTGTCAAATAGTATTTATTCCAAAATTTGAAAAATTAGGAAGGGTTCCTTTAACTATATAGATACAAATATAAAAGAGAAGAAAATAAATCTATGATCTACTGAAGCATTAAATATCAATCTCATTATCTTACCAAAAACAGGGTGTATAGTATGTAGCTTTTCGTTTTTTCACATAAGGGACAATTTTTCACAAATATGCATTATTTATTTGGTTATAATTGTAATACTCAGTCTTGGATGGCAGTGATATTTAATGACCCCAGGATATGATGACATTTTAACTGCAAACTCGTTGGAATGACGAAATAAATAGTATTCAATTTTAATAACAGTATGATCATTAAGGCTACCCATTTATCTGAAACATTTATTTAAACCCGAACTTATAATATTTCTTTTTTAAAGACCAACATTCTCAAGCCTTTGTTTTCTTCCTGCAAATAGTTTTACTTTCATATCCTGGTATTTGTATTGAAATATGTGACGCCGTAATTATTACGACAGCTACATACGGTGATTAGATACGAAACAGTTTCATTTTTTTCTTTGATAACAATCTGAATTACTTGATATATAATGTTATTTATCGGAAAAGACATTTTAAAAAAAGGAAATTTATATCGTATTAAGTATGGGCTTCAGTAAAGGATTCCCGCTATGATAATGATACCTCGACCCTGAACGAGTTTATAAAATGATGATAGAAAGAATATTCTTTGATCTAATGATATCATAAATTCTAACAGGATTCTAACTTCCATGGGAGACATGATAATATATATCAATACAACAAACAACTTTCATTTGTTGAGCAGCAAAATTTCAAAATGCAAAATTTACTTCAACATATTTTCACAGAATTTACACAAAATAACACCCAAGCACCATCAAATATCAATAAAAAGTTAATAGATATTTTCATATTTACAGTGCACAATCATTAAGGGACGTGCAAGCATTAAAAAAAGTCATTGCCTCTGACAGTCATACAAAAACACGTTTTCACTATCCATCCGTAAAAAAAGTCCAATACAAATTCCTTTAATAACATTAATGATTTAATTAAGTATAAAATCTTACTACTACATTATGGCTCAAGATTTGACTACTGAAGTTCATTTGAAGTTATATACCTTAAACAAATAAATTGTGCATTTGACTTCAATACATAGACAATAGAATATTAAAAGAGAGACCGAAAATAAACCTTATCTTCAAGTTCGCTCTCTACCTCCTTTTTATCGAAAAACTATTTACATAAACATGACTTAGGATTTCTAACGTAACCTTTTACAGTTGTATTACTATGTAAAAAAAGTATCACAAATTATTTCAATACGATCTATTTCTAACTTATTAAAAAGACCACTTATTCCATACAATGTAACCACAGGAGTAATAATGCTCGTTGAATATGCTACACAAAATCTCAACAACTAATAGTTATGCTTCAAGAAACAATTAACATGTCTTAATCAGGTCAAATGAGTAAAAATCAAGTAACTATTATACGAGAAAAGAACAATATTTTCTTGGTTCTGTCAGTTGCAATCACTATAAAATACTACTTTTGTTTCTGCATTGAAACAATTAAAGATGTCCATTACATTTCGTCTTGCAGAAAGGATTTAGGTTCATAGTTCAACTTTGAATATCATTTCCAAGGCTGCATGATACATTTCTAATACACTTGAAATATCATACTTCATCTACATAACTTAACTCGAAACGTGACTTGCAAACGTTCACATTTTTGTTTTGCAAAATAAAAAAAAACATAACTTGTGTATTGGTAAGACTACGAAATCTATGAACAAGATCATTTGACAGTGTCTTTTGCTAATACGAAAAAAAATCTGATTTAATAATGAGTTTGTGAAAATCTCAGTAGAAAGTTAGTTCAAAACCGTCGATTTTGCAAGCGATAAACATCTTGTTGTGGTTCTGGTTGAGCACACCGTAATCAATCTAATGCTAGTTATCAGATTCCTGTAACGATTTGTCGCTATGTCAGCAAGTCCGAATGGAGCATAACGCAAACATGACTGTGTCGCCAAGATGAAGGGCGCCCTCGTGCCAGCTGCTAGTTAAGTTGACGAAATGAATGTCCACACGCGTGATCTTCTAGTTGTGTTATATCCTATAATATAACACTGGAGTAACATGGTTCACTTCATCTCTACGCTTCAGGCTGGTTCATGTGTACTTGACTAGTGGAAGGACTCTAGGAACTCCCCAAAACTTTAAACAGAGACGAGAAAAGAATAAAGAGATTCAAATTTAAATGATTTATACAATATTTGTAGACATTTAATATTAGCATAAGATTTGATACCTCAGTAATATTACATTCCCAAATGGACTCCAAACCGATCAGCATATCGATATGATGTCAGTATGAATAAATTAATATCAAACGAGAAGGCAATTCATATTTATGTATAGCCCTAAAATGATTTGCACAAATTGAATGTTTGAGAACAATTTCTCGGAGGCATTATTCTTAATACTGACACAGCAAATAAAAAAAACATTTCTGATGAAGGACCCCCATTTGATTACACGAAAAGGATTTCTCCCCTGCGCTACCTTGACTGGCGGTATGGACCTGTGCGACTTTACCCATCAAATATACCTATTTGTGGTAATAAAACTACCCCATCTACGGCAAGACAAGATTGCCACTATTATCAATCTGAATGTTTATCGAAGGTCCACCAAATGAAATGTCCGCGAAACAAGCGTTGACCATGACGTATCTGGGGATTAATGGCGCACAGGGCACGCAGCGCACTTGCACCACCCCTAATATATCTACGTTACCTTAAAAGCACGACAGAGAAAAGATACCAACGGTAGATTTGTGCATTTAAACACTCATATACACGATCATGGACATTTCCTCTAATAGCTAGGATCGGCCTAAATTTTCATAACATGTATAATGTTCCTAACGTAACATTAATAAACGGACATTCAATGTTTGAAGCCTTTCTGCACTCGTTTGGCCGGGAGGGGTTAGACCTCCCTGCCTGGTCACTGACATGTGGTTATCTCATCAATTCAGCTTTCAATTAACATAAGAAAAATAAGGGGACCATGGGGCCTATTGGTACCGCTTAGGCATTGTTTACTATATAGAGAGCACAATTACCTACAAGTAGTGCAGTCCCGCTTTAATAATCGTGGAATTTATAGTTAAATCCATGGTTAGACTTTTAATCGTAACCTCACTTCAACTACAAAATAGATCCATTATTATTCTAATACACCACTGAAGACTAAATTCGCGTCCGAAAAAAAATCGGACTTTATTGCCATTCAAAAGTCATCCAGGGTACCAATCCGACTACCTATCATGCCCAATGTTATTCCTCAGCCGAATGAGTAATGCTTTCGTAGATGAACCACAACTGTTGTTAAAGAATTGGTTAAGTTCTGGTCAAGCGATGACATAGTGTTTAAACAAACGGGAATTTTGAATATACAGAAGCAACGAAATGTTAACAAATTGACTACACAAAGTGGCATGCCCTCAGTTGGGAAAAAATGGATCTACATACATGTTGCATAATAGTTTGGTCAAAAAGTGCGGCTATTTTAACATTTCGAGTTAGAGGGTATTATATTGATGAGCACTCCTTTTAATAAATAGATCGTCTTTCATATTGTTGTCCCGAAATTAAAACCCCACTGCACTACTTATAGCTACTTACGCTCTCTATATAGTAAACAATGCATACTCGGTGACTGTTGGTCCCCCATAATCCCCTTTTCTTATGTTAATTGAGAGTTGATTTGATGAGATAATCCCCTGTCAGTAAACATGCAGGAAGGTCTAATCCCTCCTGGCCAAACTAGTGCATTGGGGCTTTAATAAAAGGATCGTCTTTCGAGATTAACGAATGAGAGATGCCATAACTCCACCGTTTCTTTAGTTAGAGGCGGATCATCAATCAAGTACCTACCATTGGGGCATTACTGGACAGATGCACTGCTACATGTTCAGTCCCGATCAAAGGACTTCTGCGTTGAAGACCCCATGCAGTTCTTGAGCCCTGCTGACAAGGACGCGACGGAGAGGGCGGGCGTTGATTCTTGGAGTTGGTACCATTGCGCGATGGGCTTCCGTGGGTTCGTCAGCATGTCCGCCCAGTGGGCTGCACCCTGGACCGGAGCGTTGGGCCCTACTTCACAGACACCGATCAGTTCGCTGTGTCCAACCCTGTACATAGATAGAGAGAGATAGAGAGAGAGAGAGAGAGAGAGAGAGAGAGAGAGAGAGAGGAAAGAAAGAAAGATGTTAAACGTAATTATTGATTTCGGGAAAGCCATTGCGATCGCGCCAGAATTAAATACCGAAATGCAAGCTAATACTGACCACGACGATACAAAATTTATCAAACATACCAACCATAATAACGATTAAATACAATCATCACATTCACGATTTAGAAGGAAAAATAATACCTCCACCCCCTCATGCGTTGACTTTGTTTTAGTTGCCCATTCCCTCGACGCCCCGAGATTTGATATCGTAATGATTGATACGATTGAGTCAGATATTATTTATGGGCGTCATTAATCACTATCTTTTGTCAACTCGGCAATGCGAAATCAATCACAAGGCGGGAATATTTTATCGTTTCTTGCCTCTCGTATCGATTCGAAGACGCGTTAGGAATGATGAGGCAACGGTAATTACAATTAATTTTCAACGATGAGAGGGAAACAATTGCCACTCAGTCTAAAGACAGAGGAGAAAATAGAGGATGCATGAAGAAGGGAAAAAAGAGAAATTAATTATGGGGAGGAAAAGTGATTGTGATAGGAGATAGGATGAGAGGAATTCCGAAATGGAGAACGATGCCTAAAGATAAGCAATCATAGATAACGATACAGAAATAGTGAGGCATCGGATATATTATGAGAATCAGAAAGAGAGACAACGCCACGTCTTTTCTTTCACGAGAATGAAGAGAGATAATTATTACCATGTAGAAAGGTCTCAATGTAACTTGAAATGTCCCTCTTTTGGCTTAAAAAGACTGCACTAGCTATATTCAAAGAATGCTGTTTACAAGCACCACCACCTTCATTATCATACTTGTTGCACAATTTCATTTTTTGCTAAAGTGTATACCTACACTTCCTTTCCAAAAAAATACTTTATCCGTTTATCTCTGGATGATGTATAATTAATTTTGAGATAGCGCTATATTCTACGGGCCAAAATACTGTATACGCTATAATTTTTTTTTGTTAAATGCATGCGCTTCATATTACCTCCCCTTTTTATGATAATCACGTACAAATAGTGCGTCAAGGGTTGCGCCAGTGAGTGATGTAGTCCTACGTCAGTCCTCTTGTGCAACATGCATGACTATATTATTATCGCAAATACCTTAAGAAATCAACCCAGGTCGAATTTAATACGGTATTGTATGTTCCATAGCAAAAGTGTTCATATTATATAATAGTGTTCGCACATTCTCGATAGGTGATTGATAACAGTATTGAAACTGCATTTACTTAATTTTGTAAAGATCTTGGGTCGCATTATTACAATTTTTGTAATTACCAGTCGTAATCGACTACGGCGATGATGAGGCATATGTTTTCCATGCTGTCCGGGGCGACATCGAAGACCATTGCCTCGTTGTACACGGGGTTGAGAGTGTTCTTCTTCACAGTCGTTTTCTTTTTCTTGATCCGCTTCCCTTGCGACATTAGAGACACTTTAACGTAGGGATCTGTGGAGTATAAATGACAAAAGTTCGGTTAAAGGCTAATACTAATATCAATAACTGAGCATTAATAATAGGCGATATGTGTGATGACAAAGTGAAACTAATCTGCAAACACGGTGAAAAGATTTCTGTCCGGCATTCGAGTCACGTGTCACGGAAGTCACCTTTGACCCATCTTTCTATTGCAGTTCAAAACATCAATCCAACTTGATAGGGTTTGGTACAAAATACTCTCGGCCGTCTCAAATTAGACATATTGGTGATATATTGATTCTCCGAGAGAAAAATAAGGAGCATAACTGAAACAAATAAAATGAAATTATTATTCAAATCTGTTTTTCCACTACAATTCGACAGTGATACGTTATATTTCTACGTAAGAAAAATCTAGACATTCAAAATATAAAATTTAAATGAGATGAATCCCTGGCATTCCAAAATGGTTTTCATTTCAGTGATGCTTCTTTATTCAGGGTTTTGACTGGTTCTCAAGTAACGAATAAAAGGAATGGAATACCTTAAACTCTACATGATCTAGATTGCGTCGAGCACTATAAATCGCACTTCTTTCGCCCCTCCTCCACCTTTCCTCTACCATGACAATAACAAGGGTAATACCGTTTTCCATAAAAGGCTTCTGGAAGACTATAAAGTTGACAGAATGACAACTCTGAAGAATTTTTATTGGAAAGTAAATCCATAAGCTCAATAAAATGACGGTTAATCACGGTATTTATTGGGAGCGACTGGCATGCAAATTTAATATGAGATCCAGAATCTATCGATAGAATCCGGAGCTTAAAGTTAAAAAAAAGGTTGAGTTATGGGAAAGGTGCATCATATTTTGTGCAATTTCTCATTCTTATATGCATGGGGAGCGACTGTCATCCAAATTTAATAGGAATTCCACAGTCTTTCGCTAGAATCCGGGCCTAAGAGTAAAAGAAAAGATTGAGTTATGGGTAAGGTGCAAAATAATTTGTAAAGTTTCTTACTCTTATATTCATGGGGAAAATATGGTAGACAAAATGTCTCCTGAAAAATTGTTGTTCTAAAATTTTTCTCATATTTGAAATATGTCAAGATATGATGGGGGTGTTTGTATCAAACTTTCATGACGCATGTTTGTCTAGTCCCACACAATCATTTCTTTGTGCCGTTCGTGTGACTTTCAGCAACCGTAACTCAACTTCTTATCGTTTTGATGATCCAAAACGTTTCACTAACTACCAATTCTTATGTGCCATAATAATCAACCCTTTCGAATCACTTCCACGCAGTTTGTTCCACACTGCAATCACATGACCAGAACGCATTTTGTTTGTTTGGTTTGAGTTATTTCCTGATATAGGATTATAACGCTTTGGTAATCACCCACTGCTCTAGCTCAATGTGTCTGCCATTTTATATTCTTGGGATCACCTCCAAAATGGTATATACATAATATTCTTCTAGCAAACCGTTTCTGTTCCCCAAAATAAAATAACATTGACAGGTTGATGGTTTTTAGATAAAGTATAGGGCTTTTCAACCTTTCAATCGAGAAAATGATTAATGTTTACTTGTACCATTCAGCAAATACTCAAAAAGATGATTTAAGTCACCTGCATGTAGGTGTAACCTTTCATTACAACAATATTATTACACACAAAACATTAAGTCACAATAGCTGAAGAAGCGGGGGCAAGCTAGAATCATTTCAGTGTTAATGCCTTTGCTAATAATGCGACGCAAATGTGCAAATTGGACATTCATTTCAGATGCGAGGCGAAGTCCAAATGTAATCAGCGCATTGGCGACAGAGCGCAATTTCCGGCAGCATACATTGTGTGCGTGATCCAATGTGAGTGAGTGTGTGGGGGAGGTACGCGTGCATGTTGAATCGCAGCGGTAACTGCCTGATAGATTGGCGGTGAATTGGAGCAATCTTTTCTAATTTCAAAGAAATGAACGGCGCTGGGAGCTGAAAGAGAGGCTGATTGAGCATTTGTGGTGCTTTTTCGTTCCAAGCATCACTTTCATTGGCTGTGTATTTTGGATTGAGAGTGGGTGATGAATGACAAAATCAGGAGCTGGGTTGCGATTACCCGTCATCTTTTTAATTGGAAACGAATTAAACCTCTAATTGAAGTCTTGTTTGAGCTGGGAAAAACCCACGTGCCATCTTCTTAACCATTCATAGCGAACATTCATAAAAACAGAGCGCGTTGGCGATGAAACCCAGTGGGAGGGCTGTATTAGAAGAACAGACTGGCTTCATTAAATAGGATAAAAGAGGCCATTAAGAATATCTTTTCTTACTTTAACGAGAGATGATCACGAGTGTAAATTGTCAAGTATTTAAGCCTGTGTTACTAATGAGAGAGGATATCTGACACGATTTCGTTCAGAAATTTGAGGGCCGACGTAGATTAAGAATATCAGAGACAGGAATTTGTGAATCTATTAGAAATTCTCGAACACAAACAATATAGTCGTACGTTTTGATATCTCTCTACAAAATTTGCCCTTGCATGTTTTCATTTGTGAGATACTGTGCGTTTGTTTTGCATGAAACTGAATTTGTCTTCGATGACTTAATCAATTAGTTTCCTAGAAGAGGACTTGTAATAGTAACATTTTCGAGAAACAGTGTATAAATTGCAACAAGGAGGGGGTTATTTTGAATAACTGAAAGCAAAATAATACTAAATGGCATCGCATTATGATTTCCGTAGCCAGCAATCGTGTTCATATTGACATTTCAAAAGGTCGTAGAAGCCAATGAAAAGGTCGAGCCATTCCAAGTCAGGTTTATGATCTCATTTCAACAGATCGGCAATTTATCTCATTTGCTGGCCGCTATCCCCAAAGGGAACAATGTACACGAATGGTGCAAACTTCGGAAGGCGACGAATAGATCCTTTTATTCTGCAATTACGAAATATAAAATAGTGTCATATTAATCAAACCCCTAGCACCCTCTGGTTAGCGCAGAATTATAAATCAGCATCGGCAATTGATGAGAATCTGTTATATTTCATTATTGCAGAATAAAAGGATCTTCTCGTCGCCTTTCAAAGTTGAACCATCCGTGTACATTGTTTCCCTTGGGGACAGTGTGCCAGCAAATGACATAAAATGCCGACGTGAATTTATAAAGGTAATTACGAGTTTTTAGGTGGGAAAACCCTAGTTTAATGTCCCTCAGTCCGTGCTTTATTTGAAATTCAAACAACAAAAACAAGACAATATAACACGGGTGATTTATTTTTGATGATCTGAAGGAAAACCGACGCCGAAAGCGTACATTTTCTAATTACTGTAGAGAACATTTTATCGTATAATTACGTGTCTTGTTTGCAGCCAACATAAACTAGGGAAAAAGCAACGCAAAATAATATCGGAGTACAAGTTGAAGACTGCTGAATGTCTACAGTCGATGTTTGCACAGTACATAAACGGCACTTGTATAGTAAAAACAAAAGAAGCGATAATTCACCTGCATCTTATTCATTTTTTCTGCTGATGTTGTAATCATGAGAATTGTAATGTGTAAAGAGGAATCTAAACGTCAAAACTAATTGCGAGTCACACAACGAGTCACATTACAGGAGAATATACAGTGGGAACGAACATAAATAACAACAAGTCATTACAATTTTGAAAGTTATAATCAATATTGGATATTTTTAATGATGTTTTTAAACTGTTCTTCTTTACTCATAAAACAGATTTTATTTTGGCTATAAACGAAGACTTGTAATAAACTTAATTTCCATTTTATACTTTGAGCACAGCACCGAGGGAAATTGCACTTTGGAGAGTAATAAAATATATATTGATAGTTTGAGAAGCAATAAAGAGTTGTCATTGATTAAGTCACGGTCGAATAGCCGATTCGCAAATTTGACAACAAACAATCTCAATTTTAAAAAGAAGTCTGATATATTTGATTCAGTCATTTAGTCGTTCGATTTTAGTGACTCGGTAACATTGTTGAAGGTTGATGAAGACATTGCCTAATTTTTGGATAAAGTGTTACTTATTATATAGGCCTATTCCTTTTATTGTACCAATGCCCTAACATGCAAAGAATCCTGAAAAAAATTCTCAAATCACAAATATATTTATGGTTTTCTTTGCAAGCGTCAGTATGCGACACACTCTAAAAGTAAATTCTCCCAACCGTTTTTTGAACTTTCCCTATTTTCATGTATATTGAGCCAATTGATTGTTTTGTTACGATTTAAATTCCCCGAATTGTATTAAATTGTAGAAATATAGTTGGGAGAATTAAGGAATCGATAAGATAATTGTATCACTAATAATGGTCTGTTTTCACTCAAAATTTCATATTACCTTAAATTATACATCTAGCATACCCAATTAGCACAATTTTCTCTCATCTGAACAATGTTACAAAGTCCCTTTAAGCGCAGTAGAGTATGTTTGTATGGTAGCTGCCCTCTACGGTATACATGGGCATGTTATAAAATAGTTATCATTATGATCATCATTAACCCTTTTTCTCTTACCTGAGGCACCTGTGATGTCCATTGCCTTTAAGTTACGGGCTTTGATGACTGTAAGTGTTAACCGGCATGCTGTAGGCAGATAGTTGAGTGAGAACATCACCTCCCCTAAATCCGCTTTCTCCTAATGATGATGATGATATTAATTATAAGGAAATTAAAATTAATAACGACAATAATACTCATATGATCGGTTCTGATAGAGATAATTACAAAGGTAATAATAAAAGTACTAGTGATAACAATAATTAAAAGAACTATGATAGTAATAATAACAAAAGTAATAATTAAAGTAATAATGATAACAATAATCAAAATAATGATTGTTTTAAAACTGATAATAATTATGATAATAATGATAGTAAAAAATAATATTAACAATAATAACATGAGCTTTTAAAACATTAGATAGAGTGGGAATTGAATATAGGCTGGATAATACAACTAAAACAATTAAAAAAAAACTATGGTATGATATTGATAACAACAATTAAAATATAAACGCCACGAATTTCCTACCCCTAAATATTAAAATTAATAGGAATAAATCATTATTTACGTAACTCGATAGTAGACATACGTGAGCATTATATATTTAATATTGATCCGTAAAATTTATTTTTGTGTCAGGAAGAAATAATTAAGTTGAGGGGTAAAGCCTTACTACAGAAAAAAAAGAGACTAGGCTTCGTGAATTGTACATTCGAATAAAAATATGACAACAAAATGGCAGATTTTGTTTGCATTCCATTACGTCACCTCAAAAAGATATGACATGATTTATATATATGGTGAAAGTGTCTTTATGAAGTAAACCAATTACTGTCCTTTTTTGCGAGACTAGTGGCTTATTAATAAAAATGCAACATCTTTTAGCCACAGGACGTGACCATTCCTTTTTCGGCTGACTGATTATTTTGATTAAATAATAATATCTTTTGAAAAGCGAGATTAGACCCAGCATGGTGGCAGAAAGGTAAATGATTGGCGAATTGTCATTTTATCTAAGTCGTTATCAGCTTCGTGTTAATGAAAAACCAGATTCGTTATAAAGCCTGGCTTGGCTGGTGATACTTAAGGGCTTGTTGAGAAATGCCGCATTAAATTGACGCAAAAACAGCGCTGCATTCTTTGTTGAAACATTTTGTTTAAGAGTGAGATATGGGAAGCGTATTTTATAATTTAAGTCATCACTAAACAAAATGATAATCCTCCGCTGTTTTGCCGCGTTTTCTGAACGAGCTTCTTCATTTAGAGTAGGTAAATTCTAGGTACAGAGCACAGTAATTCTGTACAAATTATTGGATAATGTCATGTCCGGAGGATTGAGGCACCTCAAAAGAATTAAGACTATCACTGTAAACATGGGCGAAGACGATTTACTCATTAGTCCATTGTTAAGATAAAAGTCATTCAAATATACCTATTCAGTAATCTTTACAACAATAAAAGTCAACAAAAAAACTTTGAAGATAGAGGAAGAAAACGTACCCTGACAAAATTAAGGTCATATCGAGTAAACATAGGTATATATGGCAAATTTGTATGAGACCATTATACACAAACACGAACGCTGCATGAAAAAAATACTGTGTGGATAAAGTAGGATAAGTGGAAAAGTGGAAAAGTAATCAAGAGGCCCTTCGTCATTCAAGACGAAAATAGAGCAACATGGCTCCTTCTCAAATAAATGAGATGAAGATTTATGAAAGCTAGAAATATAAACCTATGACTGTGTGATCGACAGCCCTCCTTTGTGGTGTGACCTTGCCGCGTTAAGGCAAATACGCATCTGACGTTAATTCAGTTGTACCTGAACAGCAAAATTGGAATAAAAAAGGCTCAACGCCCAATTTAGCCATTGCTTTTAGACAGCGCTTTGCTATGATTCTTCTTTTCTCAGCCTCATTGCAGTGGCCATGACATTTCCAAGAAATAAAACACATGTTGATGTGTGGGATTTTTCTCATCAAGATCGAATATAAAGACAAGCCCCTTATTGCCTGCGAGGACGTTCTGTAATGAAAGTAAAGTAATGGCACCCGGGTAAAGACATCGTTTAAGAGTGTTGATAAGGAAAGCTTTTCTGATTGTGATACACCTAAATGAAAATGCATTATTGACCGTTCGCAGAAGCAGGCAGAGTTATCTTACATCCTGTTACACTAATTGTTCAATTGCAGTGTAGGTTTTTGCTTTGTATTGATTGGTGTTTTTATATGGGAAGTCTAAGTGTGTCTTTTTCCAAGAAAGTTACAACTAATCCAAAGTCTCTTCAAGGTAGTTGGAAATGCACAAAACTTCTTTGAGAGCTGGGAAATGGAAACGTAGAACCTCTGCTGTTACTCGGTATTGGTAAAAGTCTACTTACTTGCGATGTTCCTTTCATTATGTCTTCGACGTATTGTGTTTCTTTACTCAGATCCCTATCGGTGAGAAGACTGGTGATGTTCACTTCTCCTATAAGGTCGTGCCTGGAGAACCTGTCGAAATCGTAGACGGTGAATTTCAGAGTTTTGCTCTCCAGCTCGTTGTAAGGTATTTGAAAGGCAAATCTCTCATCGAAAACAGGGTCACAATTTTTCCGATGAACTTTGGTCTGGTACTTCCGCTTCCGGTCAGGGCACAGATAAATCTTCACGTAGGGATCTGACGTTCCTGAGAAGTCCTTGGCCGGAAGGCCAACTGCTCGCTCTATGTGAACGTTAAGCGTTTCCGTCGCGTAGTCGTAGAAAAGGCTGAAAACCAATCTGCCACAGTTGGGTCGGCTCTCACCGTTGAGCTTGCCCTTGTCTTTGGATTCTTGGCGGTAGAGCTCTGGACGTAATGTACCTATCAGATCTGTTTGGTCTTTGCGCGTGGAGTTGATGTTCTTGACGCTGAACTCGACGTTCGTCAGGTTAAGCTGTAAGGAGAGCTGACGTTGCTTTCGGAATGCTTCCTGACGGAGCTTCTGCGGCAGTAGCGGGACAGTTGACTGACGCGGTAGAGGGGTCGGCCGAGTTGGACTGGGTCTTCCCGAGCTGGATCGACTACCTGTAGGAGATCCATCACGGCTTTGGAACATACTATCGTTGTCCGAGTCCGAGTCAATCTCGTAGCTGTGATGATTGAACACCTTGCGCTGGACGGTATACAAGTCTTGAGGCTCCGACAGGGTTTTCTTCTTTTTCGAGCAATAAAGAGTAATAAATGCGATCAGCACGATCGCTACTGATAAGCAAACGGGAATGGCAATCTCCTCCAAGGGAAAGATGCGCCCTGTAGGAATAACAAGAACACGAAAAAAAGAAAGGAATATTTAGAAATGATTAAATTCTTCCTTCCGGATTTCCAACCAATACAAATACGTTGGAGATGCTCCTTTATCTGTATACTAATTATGATCTCGAGTGACACGTACTGCGTCCATTGACATGATTGCTATAAGTTTGCCTCTTTTACACGAAGGACTGCGTCGGCAACATACTATCGTAGCCTTTGCCGCGCAATGTAAAAGAAACACTCTATAAATAGGGAACAAAAGTAAATGAACAGAGGAAATATTAGTTGAAATAACTGAGTTATGGACCATTAATTGCCTCCATAGACTTAATCAGCCTAGGTAGTCATGCAAATGACAGTTCGGGTGCATCCGTCATTAGGTTGTTGTTTGATTTCCAAATGCTCAAAAGCAAGACAGTATTAAAGAAGTGAAAAATGGCTACATGAAATAAAGATTCACAAGTCTGAATACTCCTACTACGAACGTGTGGCGATGAACCCTCATTCACAACCAGGCGCGAACCTCAGCAATGAAATTATATCATTACCAGCACGTCCCACAATTATTATTGAATCCCTTCTCTTCCATACAGCCTTGACCCACGCCTACTCCTTATATGCAAAGTACGATGCCGAGACGGGACAGATTATGGTAATAGGATAAGGAAGCAAGATAAGCTTTACAAAAGGTTTCCAATTTGTTTCTGTCCCCTTCTCTTGACTGAAAAAGATATTTCAATATTATTCACACATATAAATAAGTAGTTGTAAACGTGCAGGGAAAATCTAGATCAGGGCCCCATTTCACAGAACTTGTCATCAGTGACAAATTACAGTTTTGTTGTAAGCTACTGAAATCCTTGCTTCCGATTGATTATCCGCAGATTTGTCACTGTTTTTTTTTCTTCTCCATTTGTCATTGAAAAAAGGCTTTGTGAAACGGGTCCCAGTACTGTAGCATATCGAGAGAGACAGTTGTGACAAGCGCACATGTCTGCGATCAACTATATCTCTCAATACGCTATGATCAAGGCTAAAAATAGCTGAGCGACATTTCTGAGGAATAAATCAATAACACGATCGCTATGTATTCCGAAAAGAAAACCTCGATGATTTTTAGCTAGCCTTCTATATCTTAAAATATGAAGACGAATCACGTACTCCGAACGTGAAGTCTACGAGGCTAAACCGTAAGGTTTTACAGTTGTTTTTGAGTTGATTTCTTGCAAGTCTTCGTGATCGTATTCAAGGAAGCACTGCATTTCCGATAAAAAGCACTGTGTGTGTATTAGTATGTTAATATCAATATATCAAACGCTACATTGCAATAATGTCAACAGCGGGTCAACCAAGAAGGTTAGAAAATAGAAGGGTCTTGCGAAGACAACACAGAACACATCACAAGAAAGCACACACTCCATGAATATTCTTCGGTAATGTTTAGCGTAAAGAGTTCACGTTTAAGTCCTCCCAAGAGAGCGATTAGTCGGCCGTGTGTAAAGTGCATTGACAGAGCCTATAGCAAGCTGCTCGTCTACCCAAATACCCATACTCTGAATAGACCTCAGACAATGACATAGTTGAAAACATAGAACAAAGTATATGGACATCATGAACAAAGGATATATCATTGAATTTAAAAGGTTTTCCAGTATTCACATTGATTACAGACAATAATATATACACTTGTTGTTTGGGAACGCTCCTGTGTATGACGGTCATGAAAGAAGGGGTTGTACGGACGCTAACGAAAATCAAGCTGTCACTTTTATACTTGGATTACATGGAGAATATGCATCGAATAGCATTCAAATCATAACATTTGGAATTGTCCAACAAAGGTATTGGAGCCGTTAAGGATTTATGAGATATTTCTCGTAAACTTCTTCAAATTACTGCCTAAAATCATGTCCCGATAACCAACCATGCATGTGCGGACCTACGACGTGTACGTCTTCTCAACGGTACAAATTTCACATTTTTGATGAAATTCACTTGAGACCTTTTGCCACGGAAGGAGACAATTGTGATCAACCGTTTCTTTTCGTGTGCAGCGCTTGGCGGAAGCCCTATCGCCATCCATTACTGTTAGCTCTTGATTTTCATTTGAGCTCAAATAAGCCCATTTACATGCTACCGGCATCACAAGGTCAGGTCAATGAAGGAAACCGTAGAGCAAACCAAGCTTAATATTCGGGCCACACTGCCAGGAAAGTACACCGCTATCAGTATGCACCAACACCGTCATAGATTGATGCTTTATCATTAGACCTGAACAAAAAGATGTTATATTGCCCTTCGTGACCGATCCCCGCCCCCCCCCCTAAAAAAAAAAAAAAAAAAAAAAAAAAAATCTAAGGTCGGTTTTTTTAATTTTTGTTTTAAAACCTTTCTTTTAGAGAAAACAAATGTTAAAGCATTCAAAACTGAATAATATCAGCCAAAGAGGGAGAAGAAAAAAATTCCGACCGATCGACCCATGTTTTTGCACCTAAAGAGCAATACAACATCTTGTTTGTTTAAGCCTTTGGGAGTTGGAGTTTTACATTCTAACAATAGGGACTTTTAGAATTGCCGAACGACAACGTGGATTGCTACGATCGACGTCCTTTCAATACACTGCCTTAAATGGACGTCACACGTATCAGACCACGCAAATCTAAAAGTCCCTAAATATGTTGTAGGGAGCCTGAATGGCGCAGCCTGGATCTATCTATGGAATAGTCAATACAAACTTAGAGCCCTAATTGGGCGGTCCGAAGTGGTATTACTTTCACCAACAATAAACGAACGTCACAAACCTGTCATTGTGACTTGCCACTCAGGATCTGAACAAGCGCAAAGGACGCTACAAGTTATCGAACGATTTCATGAAGATGTTCATCAATGGCGATGATTATACAACTTCAGTCAATTAAATGATTGTAAGAAAATTACAAAAATATAGAAAACAAGATTCTTTTGCACGTCATTCCTTACGTCAAGGATCTGCTGGTGAAAAATTTGTGAACACGAAGGTCGGTTTAGCGTCCTTGATATATAAAACCCGTCTAATTGCTGACGTTTACGACTGAGCTACGGTTATTATCGCATTTTTACAAGATTCGGAAAATCGCATGATGTCTTGCATATTGTGCAATCACTTTAGGCTTTAAACCGTTGATATGAAGAATTTACATAATCATCGTCGGCTTGCTTTCAACTAATTCAATGCTATCTTTTTGCTATCTAAAAATACTTTCCTTTACTATGATTATGTTGGAGCGCCTTGAGGACCTTGCAAGGTCGATACGTGCGCTATATAAGAATCCAATATTATTATTATTATTATTATTATTATAACTTGTGAAATATCATGTGAAAATACACATTATCTTTCACTATACAGTCAACAATATCTTACTCGTATCTGGAATCACAATAGACCACAGTTTTTATGATACAAAGGACTAGCAGCAATTCAGATGAAAGTAAATCTGCGGTTCTTATGTAAATTGTCATTCCTACAATAATGCTAACATAAAGTTTTCAGTTTATCTGTTATACCTATCATTATTTCATTTTTATAATTAATATAAGCCTCATATTCATAAATTACCATCATTGATATCCTATATGTTAATGTGTTATAGTGCTCTTGCAGATATTATAGAAAGACAACAAAAAAAGTCCGTGGATCCGCAAATATTGGCTGAAGACATTACCAGCGTAGCTAGATAGGCATCAGACTTATATATCATTGCCATGTCAAACAGATTGGCAGCTGGTGCGTTTCACAAAACTTGTCATCAGTGATAAATGGCAGTGTTTGTTATAAGCTACTGAAATCCTTGCTTCTGATTGGTTGTCAGCAGATTTGTCACTGATTTTTGTCATTGAAAAAAGCCTTTGTGAAACCGGCCCCTGATGCGTTTCTGGTCGACACATTGCACATCTTCCTCTATGTAGAACGCCGTCAGACCTATTCCTGTACCTTCGAACGCCATTGCAAATCAGAAATCGATGGGAGATGGTTCCTCCGAAGGCTATACCTGCTCTTCGGAGCACGATCCTCATAAATAAATCATTAAATATGACACCTAGCCGGGGAGATCTCGACAGGCAAACCAAAATTGAATCTCACGATATTCCGCTAGGATGTAGCCAGTTTTTGCACCTTTATTTACAGCAGAATGTAAGTAGAATGATGGAACTGAGGTTCACTCTGATGTCCATATATGGTTTGTATATACTTGTTACGGTCTTATGAAACTATCTGACATATTTGGAGATAACAATCTATTTGTTCAACACTTGCACCATTTTATCTTTATTTGTGAACTAAAGAACAAACAAAACATGGAAAGGAATATGACAATGGCAATACAAAAAAGTAAGAGATAGTATATACATTATACTGAAAAAAATGAATATTAGTGAAACGTTTCATTTTGTTAAATTCAAATTGAAACATATTTTTGGAAGGCATGGGTCGATATCAAAACTTTCATTTATATGATTGAATAAAATAATAAATGCTTTTTCTAATGAGAATGATACGTCATATATTAGAAATATGTATATGTATCTCGGTAGCTGAATAGAAAAATAAATGATTTCAATAATATAAAGAAGTTCTACGTGATTTTAATTTGATGGTTGATTCATGGAAAATAGGGAGCCAGTTTGTATGTTCTCTTTTAATTAATTTTTACTGGAGAAACGGAATATTGGTAATAGACACCTCCATCACATGCACACACAATATTCATACATTAATATTTAAGTATTTACAATACTGTACTTCGATCAAATGGAAAAAAGGACTTCGACGTATGGATGACTGGTGCGCATGAGGCCATTTCTTTACAAGGCTGATCATCAATATAATCAATATTATATTTCATACAGAAAAAAACGAGCACTCGCAGCATAATTTCTTACTCATAGAAAAGAAAAGGAAACAGGCTTTACGAAACAAACAGACATCATGATGGAAATGTGTAACGTAAAAATAC